TGGCCAGCAGGGGGAGTTGCTGCTTCCTGTCTGTAGGCCTGTAGCTGATTAAGCCAGACTCACTCAGAATAACCTTTCTGATGAGCTCAAAGCCAACTGGCTCCAGACCTTCACTCCATCAGCAAGACCGAATGCAAGTGTGCTGTGCCACCATTACCAGATGTCCTGCCTACAAGCAGAGTTATACCGGGCCTGTTTACCCTGGGCATGGGTGGGGTGGCAACCTTGAGGGCCATCTGAGCATTCAGCCCACCACCACTCTGAACTCTTAACTGACATCATGCCTGCTTGTCCCCTGGCTCTAAGCTAGGGGATGTCAGGCAGGACTCCTCCGGAGTCAGGGAATGTCCTAGTGACTATGAAGAAACTTTTTAGATTGGAGACCCTGACCGCTGCCCCCTCACCCCGTCCCAAGGCTGTGCATGCCTAGCACCTTGCCTCTCCTTCTGATCCTTCCTTGTGTGTCTCTGGGATTTGTCTTCTCGCTTTTGCATTTGGAAGAAGCTACCAGTAGGGCTCAACTTACCTCAGCTGAACTCGGAGCACGGCCCCCGAGGTACCTTTGTCACGTTCCTGAGTGGAGGATCCCTGGCAGCAGAGGACAGCCTACCGACGTGGATGTGACTCCATTCTCATGGCATCCGCTCAGCATCCCAGGACTCTTCAAGCACTGGCCACAGGGTGGGGTGTTCCCCACAGCTGGGCCTTTAGGGGATCTGTAAGTCACCGTCACTTCTGCCTTGCGGAGAACTATCACCCATAGAGCATCCAGTGGTGTCCCAGCCAAGATTCAAATACCTGTTTCCTGGGGGAGGAAGACTAAATTCTCAGGTGTACGTTGCATTTTTGGTAATTCCTGGCTTCCATCCTTGCCCCCGTGCCCCACCCATAGACCTGTGGCATGACCAGCCTCCGCCTCGGTGGTCCTTTTGTGCTTGGGGTATCTGCCTGAGGTGTACTTCCCTTTTGCAAACGGCTCACAAACCACCACCCCCGCTTCTTTTAGTATTTTACATCCATGTAAATATTATCTTTGAGGAAGCAAAGTATTAGCTCTGGATATTTAGGAAAATGATCTTACATGAAACTTTAAGGAAGAAAATATGATCCAAGTCAAATTTTAAATCTGCCCCATCAGACGAGGGCATGGGTGGGCATCAGCAGCAGTAGCTAGCAATGACGCTCATTAATGCTGTACAACGCAGGGCAGATAGTCAGTTAATTATTTCAGTAATATTTATTGAACGTTGGGAGCTTGACAGAGGGATCACTGTTTGTGATCCAGAGAGAGATGAGCAGAGTGGACATGGGCCTACTCTTCCGGGGGAGGGGGGGTAGAGGGGTGGAGTGAGCAGGGCTGAGCTGGGGTGGTGGAGTAATATTTTTAGACAGAGGCAGGTAGGCAGAAAGCGTAGCAAGTGAGAGAGGAGTATGGATGCGGGCCAGGGGCTCTGGGCCACAGTGAAGAGCTATGAGCAGTGGTTCCGCTTCTGCTTGGCCTCCCTTTCTGTGAATAAAACCTCAATCAGAATCCTGACAGGAAAGAGAAAAGGCCGAGTGTGGGCACCGCATCTCAATCACTTGTCTTTCACAAACATAGCCATGATTAAAATGACCTTTCACGAAGAACCAGGAAGGAAACGAGGGCTGGGAGAATCAAATCGATCTATCCATGTAACTTAGCAATGAGTCACACTGTGAGAGTTTCAGATGTGAAAGACTGCCTGCCAGCAGACGATGCATACTTGGAAAACGAATTCTCTCCGTGCCCCACTTAGAGACAGAGACTGGGAAAAGAAAGCATATTTGTTATCATAAGAGCCTTCCTAAGTAATTTTAGGGTAAATTATTTATGCAGTTTCCATCTGAGTCGGTGACCTTTAGATGAATGGGACTGGGTATGTACTTACTCTATTGCGGCAAACATTCCAGAAAGTTCTGCAAACACTATTTAGTATGAAATACTCCAGCTGCCCGTTCATTTCTGGTCATAACATGCCCATGTGGTACATTTAATCTTCTGCAGTTTAATATTAATTTGTAGTGAGTTCTGTACTTTTTACCTAAAATTAAAAGCTCTCTGAAAACCCAAATCTCCTGTGGGCAATGATCCACACAACATTCTGGAAATGTAAAATCCTAAATGCTCATCAAGTGCAGACCAGTGCGCATAATCCGAGTATTAACAGCTACATGAGTCGCTAGGTTCCTATCATCACCACCCTCCTCCGAAATTTTGCTGAGTTTCCTCTCCTTGGATAGCATGTTATTTACTGTTAGGTCAGTCATATATTCTATCAGACTGGTATGGTTTGAGTATGTAATGTCTCATGGTTTCTAGCTGGTGTTGCTATTTCAGAAGATTCTGGAAACTTTAGGAGATGGAAACTGGCAGGAGGAAATAGGTCACTCAAAGCATTACTGCAAAAATTTTAACTAGTGCTCCCTCTCTGTCTCTCTCTCTGTTTCTCTTTCTTCCCTCTTCCTCGCTGCTGTGAGGTGATCATCTTTGCTCTCCCATGATGCTTTGCTTCACCCCTGGCCCAGGAAACAATGGAGCCAGACTAGCATGGACTGAAACCTCTGAAATCATTGGCCAAGATCAATTCTTCCTCCTTGAAACTGCTTCTGAGATTATTTCTTACAGTGTTGTAAACTGACTAACACACAAACCTACTTAAGAAATATACTCCATAAATGAAAAAGAGAATGTGCTGCATGTTTATGCCTGGTTTGTGCCTGTCACTTTGCATTTCACTGAGCCCTGTTCAAAGACATTTGACTCTTGGGTGTGCTCTCATTTGGGGTCCTTCAGATCTAGCAGCCTGGGAACTAGTGACCTAGTATATAAATGATTCTGAAATTTCCACATTCTGAAATTGCCACATGGCCCCATTACAGAGACGGTCCGCACTGAGGACCTTTGGTGATGTCTGATTTTACACTCTAGACTCTGTTTTGCTGCCAACTTTTTTCCAATTAGGTAAGAGGATCTTCTGGAAGTCTGAATTAACTTGCAACACATCTCGATTTCCTTCTAGGATTCTTTGTGAATTAGGATCTGGGTCCAGCACAATGCTTAGTCTATCCTTTGCTTGCCAGAAGGGCTCCTAGGCTGTATTTCCATTTGGATATACCTTCCTTCTCTCTCCAGGCGGTTAGTTAGCAAATCTGCTCAATAATGATCTGAGCAACTGGATGAAAATGTGGATCTTTCAACATGTTCAAATCTTGAATGTATGTAATTGTAAAATATGCAAATAAATGCTGGTTGGGAATGACAGAATGGTACATTTCATAAAGGGAAAAAAAAAGTAGCATGTGAATTTTCAAATCCTGATCAAGATCCCTTGTTGGAGAGTGGTGGTACATTCTTCTAATCCCTGCTCCTCCGGAGGTGATGGCAGAAAGACCATGGACTGAGGCCAGGCAGGGCAAAAACATTAGACTGAGAAAGGAACTAAGAGTCAAAGGATTATGGGCATTGCTCAAGTGGCAGAGAACCTGCCCAGCAAGTAAGAGAATCTTAAATTTAATCCCAGTACTACCAAAATGATTAGTTTTTCAGATTTCAACAAAGATTATTCTATCACTGAGGTGTTTGTGGGCTGGCCAGGCAGCTTACACTTAGCAGTACTTGAAGTTCCAGGAAGAAGGCAGCCTGAGTTTCAAGCAGAAGTCTTACAGATCTTCTGAACACACCTAGCCTTTATAACGCAGCATCTCCAATGAACATCTTTAAAAACAAACAAGTCTCAATCCCTATCCTTATTAGGGGTGTGGATGCACAGAGCAGTGGTAGAGCACTCGCTTAACGTGTGAGACCCGAGATTCCATCCCAAGCACTAAAGACAAATAATCTGTAAATAACTGTTTAATGGAGGTGTAGGTCTACAGAATCTTCATCATTATGTCATCCGCTTGGGCAATGGAAATATTCAGTTTCCGGTTATTGATTTTACCCTTTTACGGTGTGCTGTGTGTGCATGTGGCAGACACTGAGCTATTGCTCAGAATCAGAAGTTTCTATGTTGAAACTGGCAAAGGAATGTTCCTCAGAGACTGCAGAATTCAAAGGGTTCACAGCTTAGGCCTAGAAATAAAATGAGGAATAGACACCTTTTTCCATAAAGAGCATATTGTGCTGATTTATTATAGAATGCAGTTAAAAAAAATATTTTGAGGTTAGCCTCTCCAGTTTAAAAGCACTTAACTAGAAACACTTGAACAGCTATAATGGCCTCTCCCTGACCAAGGCCTCCCCTACCAAGTACTGTAAACAGAGGTGTGAGAACATTCAATCGATTTCTTGTTAGAAACAGTCAAAGACTTCAATGCACACAGATCTGCTTTACGAAAGAAAAAAACCATCTTCCGATTTTCCAAAGCATGCATTGTTAACTTGGCATTAGGTATTTCAAAATGACAAACTTTGTTATGGTATTGTAAGGCCAAAATATAATACCTATTTACTAGACATACACAATACAACTAGAAAAACATTACAAATGTTCAGCTAGTGTGACGGTTCCCTCAGGAATTCGTGGGTGGGGGGAAGGCACTGCATCCTTCTTGTATCAACACACATCTACGACTCACTTTACATGCTTTGAGTTCAATCCTGTTAAACATGGTACGGCGTTTGCTACCACAGACAAGTCACAGGTAAGTTAATACATCATACAACTCCTCCACTGCCCTACTGTTCCAATCCAAGTGTGTAACACGTATGGATAAACACTACCAGCTTTATTTACAAGTTTATCTTGAGGTTTCAGTGGGGGTGAAAAACCGACTACCTCAACCCAACAAGATCCCCAGAAGTCTGGCTATGATTCACGGACACAAACCACTACATAAAACAAAACAAAACAATGGAAACCAATGTCTGACCCCAAACACCAAAACTAACTTTTCTCACCCACTGAAAGTTGGCAGTGCAACCGCTATTCTCTGAATTATCCAAGCTAAACTACACAGGAATTTCAGGCCAACTTTCTCCCTCCCCTCCCCCCCCCATCACAAGTTACATGTACCAGACAGATGCCAGGTGAATGCATTCCAGGCAGAATTCCACAAATGAGACCTGTGACACGGGGGGGGGGGGGGGGGGGGGGGCAGGGAGGGGCCTGGGACGGGATAGTTTCCCCAGGCACACCTGGCCTCCCTAGGGATGTAAAACATCAATGTAACTTCATCCAGGAATGGAGGGTGGCCTTGAAAATCAATAGTATACATGCACAGATAGGAGAACAGGAAGGAAGAAATGAAACGCTACAAATTTCCACATAGACTGGTTGCTTTCACAACCCGTAGCGATGGACATTGGTGATGCTGGAGTGGGGTCTCTGCCTACCAGCTGGGTCTGGACCCTGCTTAGAAACAGAAAACTCCCTCTAGTCCTGCTGACCAACCTGGCCTTGGCAAACACAGAACCTACCGGAAAAGAATGAGTACAAAACACTATCAGTATCAGTTTTCTCAAGACACTCCCAATGTCCCTGTGCGATCACCACAAACTCAGTGAATGGCCCAAGACATTCCGGGTGCCACAGACACCTGGGCTGCGGTGCAGCATCAGAACAAGGAGACAAAGCCTTGATTCTCTCCCCCAGCGGTCACAGCTGCCACCTCCAAAGCTGTGACCGGCCATTTGCACAGTAAAAGATTCCTCTGGTGAGTGTAATTCAATGCACGCTCTTCATCTGTGTGCCAGTTCAGCTTAAGTGGATAGGTGTGTACTCTGGCCTTCTCGTCTGGATAATTTTTGGCTTGGGTCTCTTCATTCTTTCCATCTCTTCCTCTTCCTCATTCTCTTGATCGCTCTCACACACGTGGACCACGACGCTGGGAGTGGTGTCGGTGGCTGCGTGCAGTTCATACTTCTCCCCTAGGGGAAGAACATCACTGCTGGTTAACAGAGACAAGTCCTCCAGATGCAAAGGGCTCCTGGTGCGCGTGTGAATGGCGCTACCCCAGGGGTTCAGCCGCTTTCTACTCACCTTCAATAAGGAGGAGGGACTCAGACAGACTCATTTTGCATTTCTATGTTTTTGGTGGCTCATTCAGAAAAAGACACATTCTTCCAGTACAGGGCTGGGCCCAGCCCGTGAGGCATAGAGGAGTGTCTGGTTTGGGGCTTGAACTTAGGACCAAGATGCTCTCATTGGGCTTTTTCACTCAAGGCTGGCATTCTACCACTTGAGCCACACTTGCGCTTCTGGCTTTGCTGGTTAAGTAGAGATAAGAGTCTCATGGACTTTTCTGCCTGGGCTGACTAAAAAGTGATCTTCAGATCTCCTCCCCCTGTGTAGCTAGGATTACAGGCGTGTGTCACTGGTGCCTGGCTGGAGGAGTGCTTTTTATGCGGTAGACTTCTCTTGTCCCTGACTATCTCTCCGTCAGCCTTTCCCAAGGGTGGTTCCAGAAAGGTACAAAATGAATAAACATGTTTGGAAACTGAAGTCCTGCGCCTCCCCTCGTGGGCCTCTCAGTATGCCGGGGAAGGGGAGAGGCATGGAGGCCCCCCGAGGCCCATGCCGGTGTGGCAGCATGGGATGAGGGTCATGTCAAACAAGGAGTGTGCCACTGTGTGGTAGCCCAAGTATGACCAGGCTCAGTCCTGTCCAGCCCGCCCTGGTCAGCAAAGGTGGGCTGAGCCTTCTGCCGCTGAGCAACCGACATGAAAAAGGGAAGGGACGCCCCTTCAGGGCCAGCCTGGCCATGGAGAATGTCCGACTTGTCTTGGGTGCTGATGGAGGCAGCCTGGCAGAGGCCCCACAAAATGACATGTCCTCAGTCCCTTCGTGATATGAGAACAATAAAGGTGTCAACTTTGTGAAGCCAGTCATAAGAGTAAGCACGTAGTACCTGGCTCACAATATACATGGCTGAAACATGCTGCCTAGAATGGGGTGTGTGTGTGTGTGTATACACGTGTGTGTACATGTGTGTACTTGTACTGGGGCTTGAACTCAGGGTGTGGCCACTATCCCTTAAGTTTTTCTTTTTCTGCTCAAGCTATCACTTGAGCCATGGTTCCACTTCCAGATTTTGCTGGTTCACTGGAGATAAGAGTCTCACAGATTTTCCTAGTTGGGCTGGCTTTGAACCATAATTCTCTTATTGCAGACTACTGGGTAACTAGATTACAGGCATGAGCCACCAGTGCCAGGAATAGAATCGTGTTTTAAAATACAGGGGAGCAGGAAGGCAGCTCAGTGACAGAATGCTTGCCAGCACTGAGATTAGCACAAGAAAGGAGGTCTTGCAGTGGCTGATTTCCAGTAGAAGGAGCAGCTAGGAAGAGCCTCCAGCCTCCTGTTCCACACGCACTTGTCTAAATGTGGAAGGCACTGTCACAGAGAAGACCGCTGCCTTGCCTCTCCCCCACCCTCTAGGCTGGAATGTTAACGTAACTGCACCGGAGATGTGCAGGAGGCTCAGCTGGCTCAGCGCATTAAGGCAGGAGAGGCTCACATGTCACCAGAAAAGGCCTTTTAGAAGTCCTTGTGTATCTACGCTCAACCACAATTCAGGAAGTTCAGAGCCTGGCACTCTATTTGCAGCATCTTTGGTGAAAGTGGGGGTTTGCACTCAGGGCCTCATGTGTGCTAGGCAGATGTTCAGCGACTCCAGCCTGTTCACAATATCTTTAAAAAGCACAGATGGAATAGAAAATATTACTCAAGTTCAGTGTTATATAAACGGACCCCAAGTTGACTTTATTACATCTTCTTTTGTAAAAAAGGCTTCTTCCCCGCCTTCAGTAAAGGTGAGGGTGGTCCTGGCGCGTGACGTACCTGTCCTAGTACTGCCCACCTCTAGAGCAGCTGGCACTGTCCCTGGCGGAGACCCTGCCTGCTCCATCCCTAACACTCAGCCTTGCTAAGGCGCGTCTCTGAGCGCTGTCTTGGAGGGCAACACACTTGGTCAAACCAGCCCTCTTCCACCTTGACCTTCATGCCACGATTAGCACTCAGAAATGTGATTCTTGGTTTACAGCACCCTGGGAATTTCTGTGTAGTCTGTGTTTTCAGAAATGCAATCTTTTCAACATGAAACTGCTGATGGTTCATGAAAATAAAACCCTCGACCCAAAGGAACATCAGATTGTGGGTCAAGGAATAATGGTCTCAGCACTTACTCAGCTGGCTCTGTGGTGGGGCAGGAGGAGGCTCAGTCCTCCTCACTCCAAGATCTCTTTCCTCTTATCCCTGCCACCAAACCCTAGCACACAGGACAGGAGCCACTGACATGCAATGAATAGTTTTCAAAAAGTCCTGTACTGAGCCTTGACTACAAGGACCAGGTACGGTGTAAGCTCCTACAGTTCTGTGTGAGGCCTATGTTGTGGACACCGGGGCCTGAGGTGCTGTTAGGTGAGAATGGGGTCAATGGTGAGTCACGCCGCGCAGGTGCAATGTCTAAAATGGCCGCGCAGGTGCAATGTCTAAAATGAGGGTCTCTTTTCTCTTTCCCAAAGTCCACTCACTCATCCCACTTGGAGGAACAGAACCTGGGGTCTGGGCATCGACACACAGGGAGCAGCTGGTGGGTTAGAGGTCGGGTTAAGGGACCACCAGCAGGAGGAGCGAGCACAGGACCCATGGGCAGCTACTCTTCCTTGCACAGCTTCTCAAGGAACACACGAGTGACTTGATGCGGGAGGATGGAATAATTCAGATCCTAAGACACACTTGCATTAGATTATGGAGAGTGCAGAGCAATGGGGGTCCTCCGCGCTCTGAGAGGCAGGCCTCCGGTCTGGGACTGTCTCCCATGCCACCCTGTCCTCTGCCCAGCCTAGGGTGCTGCTTACCTGGCCCCAGCTTGGAGATAGCATATAAAAGATCGTAATTTATGACGGGAGTAGCATCTTCTACTTGTTTCCATCCAACTGGCGGAGAGGCAGGAGGAGAGATGAGAAACTGCTTGTCTGGATTGGGTGGAGCCAGGTGTGAGCTTCCTATGTGTAAAGTCTAAGGAGAGAAATCAATACTCATCACTGTCCTGAGAGGAGACTGCAATGGGTTTACAGCACCCCATGGAAGCTTCTGGAAGACAGGTGTGCTGGGACAGAACTATGGCCAGGCAGCAGGACATTGATTCCCAGGTGAATTAAAATGGGTCTTAAGAAGGTAAAGGGGTGACTGGACTCTCTGGCAGTGAGTGACACAGATGGCTTTAGTATGAATGGGAAAAAATGAAGTCCTGTCCTTGAGGTAGGAAGTGATCTCAGCATCCATTTCTCCCCGCTCCTTATGCCACAGAGGAAGGAGGGCCCAAGGCCAGGACCCTCTTCTAACTGGACACAGCTTTCCACAGTGGGATCTGGGGTTCCTCCTGCACTTCCTTCTCTGCTTCCAGGGCTCCTGGCAAAAGTCAAACATCAAGGACCAAAAAATTCACCTTCCTACAGATTTAAAAAATAATCCTCCTGAGCCATAGCCTATAATCCTAGCTTGGTCTTAGAAACTGTATCTGTGACCAGAGGGCTGCCAGAAGACTTTATATCAAAAGCTAACCATTTTGTATTTTATGTATGGTTTATATGTCTCCCCCGAAATTTTTACAATAAGCTAGGAGCTGGTGTCTCAGACCTGTAATCTTAGCAACTCAGGAGGCTAAGATCCCAGGATTGTGGTTCAAAGACAGTCTGGGTGAGACTCTTATCTCCAATCAATTATCAGAAAAGCCAGAAGTGGAGTTGTGGCTCAAGTGGTAGAACCCTAGTCTTGAGCACAAAAGCTTAGAGATAGTGCCCAGGCCTGGAGTTCAAGCCCCAGGAGAGGCACCCCCCCAAAAAAAGAGTTTCACAATAAATATGAATCATTTAAATAATCAGAACAGGTCATGAAGGATGAAGGTATAAGTCATTATTTACACGAAACCTCACCTAGGGAAGAAAGGTACTTGCAGTGGAAGTGTTCCTCTTTTCTCCCCTCCCTCCCCTGTGAGGTGGAGTGGGGGGAGGAGGTAGGGTGGGGCATGCTCAGATGCCAGGGAGAGCCTCACTGGGGTCTGGCTTTACTTGGCGAGTAGCACTCTAGCAGCTCCTTTCTTCTCCCCTGATAATCTGCTAGTCTCTGTTACAAAGTCGAATAGAACTTTGGGAGCTGCCTTGAAGACAGGGGTCACGGGTAGGCTAGGGTCCCCGGGAGGGAGGAGGGTGGGAGGGTGACAGGCAAGATGATCAGCAAAGCCACCGGCAGTCCCTTCCTTCTGTCCCATGGTGCTCTTGGCTGGACCTTAATGAACAAGAAGGTTCCTTAGTCTTTGTCTGCTGTTGGTGAGCTGTTTTTCCCCTATCAGGTTAGATCTTGCAGCCCTGGGCCGACTGGCACGCGTGAAGGCTTCTGCTAAACAAACTGGAACCACTCGGATCTGTTTAGTCCGGAGTGCTCCTTAGCCTAAGCCTGGAGCAGCTCCTGCTGCCCAGATGTCAGGGTGCTGGGGCAGCCCCACGACAGCAGTACGTGGTGGGGCGGGAAGGAGGGGTGGGGAGGAGGGTGGAGGGTGGGGGGGGGCATCGAGCCGCCTCTCATCGCCATACAACCCAAGCGTCAAAGGTCATTTCTGAGCTTGGTTTCAAATTTACCTTGATTTTTATTTTATTTTATTTTTGGTGCTGGTAAGTGGGGCTTATACTCGGGGCCACCTGCTTGTGCTTGGCTTTTTTTTTTTTTTTTTGCTCAAGGATGTTACTCTTTCACTTGAGTTATACCTTCATTTCTGGCTTTTTGGTGATTAACTGGAACTACTTACAGACTTTTCTACCCAGGCTGGCTTTGAACCATGATCCTCATATCTCAGCCTCCTGAGTTGGTAACCTTGATGTTGTCTTAACTGAGACATTGAGAATTCTGAGTAGGAATTTTGACTTTTTTGAGATAAGGTTTTTTTTTTCAGTGTGTGTGTGTGTGTGTGTGTGTGTGTGTATTTCAATCAGTGTATAAACTGCCTTAAGATGTGAAAGGAGGGAAGAACATGTCTAGCGAACACGTTTACCACTTACCTGAGCGAAATACAACTTCATTTCCTTCCCCAGGAACTCAGTCTTGTGCAGCTGCAGCCTGGCGTCTGCTGCGGATAAGGGGCTGCTGAAGTTTATCCGGACGCGCCTGAAGCTCCTAAAATACTGGAAGGTGATATCCTTGTCATAGGTCCTAAAGAGGGATTCAAATTTGGCCTGGAAGGTAAAAAAATAAAAAGGCGTTAAACCTTAAGTTCACATGGCCCCTGACAGAGCATTCCACATTCCCCACTGAGGAAGTCAGCTATCAACTCTTAAGAGAAAAGGCTCTCACTTCTGAAGCGATACGACTCTATTTATTTTAGAACTTAGGGCCTCCCACACGTGTTCTGTCACTGAGATACACAAGACAGTGCCCTTGCTCTCAGACAGGTGATGAAGGTACGATTTACTGAATCTGATAAGATTTAGTAAATTCATGAAATCAACAGAACAATTATGAACACCTAAATGTACACACATGCATTATGCGTGTGTGTGTGTGTGTGTGTGTGTGTGTGTGTGTGTGTTGCTAAGAATGGAATCCAGGGCCTACAAAAGCCAGGCAAGTGTCCTACAACTGAGATATACCCCAGCTTTCTAAATATTTCATATGAAAAGAGAAAAGTGCCCCCCCTCCTTTTTTTGTTTTTCTTGGTTGGTCATGGGGCTTGAACTCAGGTCCTGGGCACTTGCTGTCCCTGAGCTCTTTTGCTCAAGGCTAGCACTCTACCACATGGTACTATAGCTCCATTTCTGGTGGTTAACTGAAGAAAAAAGTCTCATGGACTTTACTGCCGAGGCTTGGCTTTGAAGCATGATCCTCAGATCTCAGCCCTCTGAGAGGCTAGGATTACAGGTGTGAGCCACGAGTGCTCAGTGAAAAATTCCTTTTGAAGAGGATTAAGCACTCTCCACGGAGGTGGTTTTTTGCATAGTACTCATTACCCATTGACTGATGTTCCTACACCTTCTCCAGTTTGGGAAGTCCCACTCTTGACACTCAGCTCAGGGATATTGGGTATGCCAAACAGTTCTTTTGGGCTTAAAAATCCTACTGTTAATTTGAAAAATAAAAATTAAAAAATCTTTTAAAAAATATTGAAGAATGAAAAAATCAACTTAAGAAAAGTCTTGCATTTCTTTAAAGAAAACAAGTGTGTAAAATTCCCATTATTGCCGGGTGCTCAGGGCTCATGCCTGTAATCCTAGCTACTGAGAAGGATGATATGTGAGGACTGCGGTTCAAAGCCAGCTTGGGCAGGAAACGTGCTAAGAGTCTTATCTCCAACTAGCCAGCAAAAAAGCTGGAAGTAGAGCTGTTGCTCAAGTGATAGAGAGTGCCAGCCTTGAGCAAAAAGGCTAAGGGACAGCAGAGTACAAGGAGTTCAAGCCCTAGTACTGACACAAAAGGAAAGCCCGACCAATTAATTTTATCTGACTCTGTTCTTGTTTAACTGTCTGCAAGATACTGGTCTAAAACTGAAGGCACTTGCACTGAAACCCACGGTGCACTCCATCTCTCCGGTAGGTTAAACAGGCTCTGTTGGTGTTGGAAGGGCTGGTGAGAAAAGAATGAAAATCCCAAGTTCTAGATGGCCAGCTTAGCTTTAGGACAGCCCATCAGCCTCTGGGGATTCAACTTGGGAGGGAGAGGCTGTAGGTGGAAAAGTAGTATCCTCTCACCAGAGGGCGGGTTAGGAGAGTGGAATGTTCCCTCTGTCCTCCTCAGCTCCTCTTTCCTTAGCTTTGGAACATTCCTACGACTTGCAGGTGGGGTTCTGCGGAGCTATGTGTGTGAGCATTTTCTCTGCTGCCCAGTACTTGTCCCACCTATCTGGGGCACGGGCAAGTTTGTGGTATAAGCGTGTCTTGGTAAATCCAGAATTTCACATGACCTCATTAATAAGCATTATGACTAACAGTAGAGGTCTGGAGTTATGATTCAGAATTTGGGAGAGAGGACTTTGATGAGTATTTTTAGAATGTAAGTCAGGGCTCAGGACCAGAGCAACAGAAAATGGACATTAGTGCTAAATAAAGATCACTAGCATAATTTTAAAAAATCTTACTTGTTCTAATAGTTGATATCTAGTTATTACCATTTGTACATAGTATTTCTACACTTAATTAAAAGGAAATCATTTTGGCCTGGCATGGTGGCTCCTGCCTATAATTTTAGCTACTTAAGAGGCTGAGACCTGGAAGAAAAAAAGGTACAGACAGTAAAGTCCATCACCAGCAAAAAAACAAAACAAAAATCAAAACACCAAAAAACAAAAAAACAGACTAGAGGTGTGGCTCAAGTGGTAAAGTGCCAGCCATGAGAGGTCCTGAGTTTAAATCCTGGTACAGGCCTACACATACACGGAAAGTAATGCTTTTAAGCACAGAAGGTTAATATGAATTATGCTGACTCTGTTGTATTTTTATGTATAGAATGAGCCCTGTAATTAAGGTAAAAAAATGTGTCCCAGTTTTCTTCCAGTAATTGTACACAAAGTTAACAAAAGGTAACTCTGATTAAAAGTAACAATCCTTCACAAGATGGCTTTGAGTATAAAGCGTATAACGCAAATAACATTCCCACACAACACATATATACAGTATTGTGCCTATATGATACTATCTATTCACTCTTGTATGAAACATCAACCAGTCAGCTAGGTACCTGCCGATGAGAAATTGTACATTTTAAACAAATGAAGAAGAAAAATATAATGATTAAAACTGCTAATTATATTAATTACTACAATGAGAGCTGCTACCCAGGAGGCATATTTATCCCATGCTTGAATTATCTAGTTTTATTATTTGCTAGCCAGAGAAATCTGAAAGCTCAAGGAGCTCCCTTGTAATTACTAGAAAATGCACAACAAATCTGCGATATTTATTCCCTAGGAGGAAATGAAATAATTCCAAACTCTGGCTGTAGAGTTTGCCCCAGTTCCATCTGCTGTCAGAACAGGTCTCTGGTAGAAGAGTTCACATACCACACACACACACACACACACACACACACACACACACACACACACACACACACACACACACACACACACACACACACACACACACACACACACACACACACACACACACAGAATGAAAAACACACGCTGCCCACATACTGCCTGGCTGGGAAAGAGATGCGGGAACTGGACATCTCCGGATACTGAGATCTTCAAGAGTTAATTCTACAGACCACAGCTTCTGATTTTCAGCAGCTCAGAACACTTTGGATTTACTTCACACACATTTTCCCTACCACCCAACTCTACCAACCCCACTAGAGAGCCATCTACCCCAGAGGATTAGCACCAGGCTTTCAAAACTTTCAAAACTTCCATTTCCACGTCTTACCCTGCTTTCACTTTCGTTGAAGATCTCACTGCTAGCTACACAGGCGATCAGGGAGCTAAAACTGTAGTTAAAGTTCCTAAAATGCATCTTGCTTTCTTACTAGGAAATCGCTAGAGACCCAGGCAGCCAAACCCCAAAGCGGTGCTCCTTTTCTTCGGGTTCTTGCTCCCAGCCCAGGCTTATAAAGTACCCAGCGCCAGCCCCCTGGGGGCGGGGGAGTGGGGATCGCAGCTCTCCAAGCATCCTGTTTGGACAGCAAATTCCTGAGTCAAGTCCTGTATGCTGGTAGGCAGACAGGGACAAAGTGTAAGTTTCTACTGGAAAGAGGTGACGTCAACACCTTAGTCATTTTCCCTATGCTAATTACCTCTGGCGAGAGGGTGGAAAAGGCAGCTGAGGTTTGCCTGGCAGCTGTTGCGTCCGCCCCTCTTGCAGCATAGTTTCCACTGGTAGTAATTCCATTCAGTACTTAAGACAACGTGCAGCTAACTCCTCTCGGCTGAACGCTGAATGGGACGGGCCTGCTTAAGATGGAAAATGTTACGGAAGAAAAAGGCCCAAGGTCCCAAGCAGTAAACAGTAATTAGTCTCCAGGGAAGTTTCAAGGGTTTGGGAGATCTGGAAACTTAAGTCTTGTTGGTGAGTTGCTGCTTATCCCTGCAATTTCCTGAAAACTTCAATCAGTGTTTCACATTGGGGCATTAAGGAAAACATTTTGAAATCTGAATTGGCCAGTGAACTGTGTTTTAAAGAAAAAAAAAAGGATGGGATTTATTTTGAAATGCGATGTTTTGTTTTGTTGGTTTTTTTTTTCCAGTGGAACTTTTTGAATGGATGTGCCAATTTCCACTTGGATTCTATAGTAGGACTATGGGAAGAGAGGCTAAAGAATCCCTACTTTATCATTGAAATTTGAGAACTAGGAATATGTGAGTCTTGGATTCGTTTCGAATGGCAAGCAAAGACATAAAATCATTTAGAGGGCTGAGGAATATCTCAGTGGTAAAACGCTTGTCTAGCGTGTACCAGGCTCTGGGTTTGATCCCTAGCACCACAAAAACAAAAACATTTCTGAGGAGACTTTGGCCTCTGAAACTGAGAAAGGGATCCTGCTTAAAGACTCATGGGCTGATTACTCTCTTTCTCTTCTTTTTTTGGTACCAGTTCCGAGGCATGAACTCAGGGCCTGGACATTGTCTCTGAGCTTCTGTGCTCAAGGCTAGCATGCTACTACTTGAGCCACAGTTCCACTCCTGGTTTTTTTGGTGGTTACTTGGACATAAGAGTCTCATGGGCTTCCATGCCTGAGCTAGCTTCAAACCATTATCCTCAGCCTCCTGAGTCGTTGGGATTATAGGCATGAGCCACCAGCACCTGGCTTTTTAATTTTTTTTTAAAGTAGGAAATGAAGAAAAAAATGGAAAGGATGTACAGCATAATTGACAAGCTTGTTCTGCTGGCTTCTCTGGGTAAGACACCTCATCTGGATCATTTTGCAAAACTGACTCCAGACCTCTGAGCATCACATCACTTAACTTCTAAACAACTTGCCAGCTTCAGCCTTGCATTCTTTGTCCTCAGTCTCAACACATCTCTAACTTCATTATCACCAAAAAGTCCTCTAGTTATTTAAGCTCTCTCTAGATTAGGGACTGGCAGAAACCCCTCTTCTACACTTCCAAAAGTTTAAGGGGACCCTTGCGTTCACATTAAATTTTTATTTCAAAGCATCATTAATGTCAGCCAATAATTAAAAAGAATATATGCAACAGGGGAAAACAACAACAAAGGAGGCATTTAGACCCTTCAAGAAA